CATATGGACCACAGGTGTGATAGGAATCAATAAACAAATGTGTATTCTTTTCAGAAACGATTAAAACTTCTACTTCAGTTTAGAAAATCCTTAAACTTGTGATTGCCAGGAGTTGGGAAAACTTACAGAGAAAGATCACTATCTGCACATGTGGTAGGACCTCAGGCTGGCCAGAGCTTTGTAGAGGATCTGACTTTCTTCCCAAGCAAACTTCACCACCCCTAGAAATATTCAAAAAGATTGAAAAGCTTTTAAAATAAAACTACAAACAAATCCAGAGTTAAAAACTTAGACTGGTAATGCACTTTATTAAAAGAGGAAAAAAAGGATGGGCTGAAACTAGGATGGGCTGAAACCAGGAGAGCTGTAATGGAAGGCGGTGGCAGCAGCAGTGTGTCAGCAGGCTCTGGGGCAAGCGAAGGGCAGAGAGGAGCAGCCCTGCCTTGCTGCAGCCCGAGCAGCCTGCAGCACTCGCTTGTCCACGTGGCTACAGCAGGATCACATCCTTGCTGCCAGGTGGGGATTGCTAGAGGGTGAAGATCTTTTGCAGTATCTACTAAAACGTTACAATATATTTGCCAACTGCAGAATTGGAATCAGCAGAGGCCAGCGAGATGCTAGGCACCAGGTACACGGGCCTGCCTTGCACAGTGTCAGCACAGGGAGTGCTGCAGCTCAGCAGGGCTTAACTTGTCACTTCTGCTGTCCACGTCCTCTGTCTGTAAGCACAGACTCGTGCAGGATGTTCCTCTCACTGGGAACAGGAACATCGCAGGGAGGGAGGGCTCAAGTGCTGTGTCCGTGGTGTCCCTACCACAGCTCCCTGCACGCTCCGGAGAGGGAGCCCAGGCACTGTATGTGTTCTGTAACGCGCAGCTGTCCGCAGCCTGGCGCCGCGTCCTGGGGATGAGCGTGCTGCGCGCAGCACAAGCGAGTCCGAAGGGTGTTGCCTGCACACTCCTCCATAAAAAGCAATGCTCTCCTGGAATAACAGCTGCTGTCTCCAGGTGTGGAACGAGAGGCAGGGCTTTAATTGTCCTTTTTTTTTACCATTTACCTTTGTCCTTGGGCCGAAGACTGCAAAATGAGATTTTTGAAACGCTGGCCCCATCGCCTGTGCGAAGCACGTGGATACAAGTTATTTATGTATCCTCTGTTTTTTCTTGCCTTCACATTCGAGTGTAAGAGTCTCATTTCAGTATCCCATAGCATGCTGAAATATGCAGGATCTGTGTACCTTATCATTTCAGGCTATTTAATCTCGTTCCTTCTTTTATGAAGGTGACCTTGGCTTGCTCTGTCTTTCATTTGTAGTGGCAATTCTGGGTTCCACAGACCTTAAGAGAAAATGGCCTGTTAAGAACAGCTTTCACAACAAACAAGCAGAGTAACCAATAAATACCCTTTGACACTGGAAAAAGAAAGTCAGAGTGTATACAGAGAACAACTTAATGGACTGGAAAAAACACTATCTGTATAAGTAAAAGAATGCACCTTTATGTTCTTTGCATTTGTGCATGAAATACATGTCATGATTTATTTATTCAGTAGTATACTACGTTAGAGCCTCTTTTCCCCAGATTAGAAGACAAGAAGGGAGACTGAGTTCCTGTTTCAGCAGATATTTATCTGCGTGCTCGACTCATGCAGTTTTGCGATCATCCTAATCTGATTTATCAGATGATGAGAAGACAAATACTTAGCTCTTCCATTTGGAGAGACACGTATGAACACAGGAAGTCTTGGGTCTGGAGAACAGAAGCCTGATAAGAAACCTGAGTTGAGGGAGAAGGGAGCCTGATGAGTTTGGGTTTTTTTTTTTTTTCATTGTTTTTTTAAAAATGAGAGGCACTGGGAATGATTCTGGCAGTCATCTTTTGGCTTTTACAAATTTGCAGTTCTTCAAGTCAAATTGAGAGGTAGAATCGCATGAAAGTTTCTTGTTTTGTTTTCTTAAACGTGCAGGTTATTTGGTTGTGTTGAGATTCCTGTGGCCAGTGAGGAGGACATTTATAATGCTGTTTTACTGGGGAAGGGAGGTTACCGAAATAAATGGGAGTTTCTTCCCATTGTAGCTTGAGATTAGCTATGTAATATTTAGTTGCTTGGGAATTCCCTTTTTGTTTGTTTGTTTTTTGTTTTCCCCATAGAAGCACCTCCATGACAAAAGTCCCCGCAGATGGGCTGGCCACTCAGGGACTCTGCCAGACCACACCAGCCAAATGTGCATTTAGTCAAAATTAGAATCTTCGTGTTGTCAAAGGCACAGGAAAAGGCCCACTGAGATAGAATAAACACATTCAGGCAGATTAATTTGGTCTGAATGAAGAAAATGAAGGAGAATCAAGTTTTATAGAAAGTGTCGTCTTACAACTAAAAATTGATTTTGACCTTTGCGGAGATGTGAATGTCACCTTGTAATAAAAGGAATTCTTGGGCGATTGCTGCAGGTCAGGCAGACAATGCTTGAAAGATTCCCCAGAAATCCTGATTTGTTTTGACAGTTTTTTTGGTGTAATACAGCGTTTAATCTTTCTGGATCTTCCAGATGCTTGCTTCCCATCAGTGTTGGTTTGAATCCTCTGCAGCTTTGGCAGTTGGCTAATGCGTGCACACAGGTCCCCCCATTTCCTCTGCAGCAGTAAGAAAGGTGCCTTGCTGATTCTGCAGTTAGTTGGATTTGCTTGTTTTCCTACGTGTGGCTTAGATTTTCTTCTGATTTGTATTATTCCTTGATAAAGGACATGGTAAAGAAATCACCCCTTTTACTTACTCTGCTACAATGCCTTTGTTTTCTGCCATCAGAATAGCTTACTGGAGGGTCTAACAAGAAAATAGCTCCAATTTCTTTGATAACAAAGGCGATTGGTAGAATTTACATGTGGCAACCTAGAGAATTAGCTTCTAACTTGAGTGTTTGATTTGAGGCACTGTGCTCTCAGAGATCCTCACATAGTGAGGAGCCAAACAGATTTGCTCTGCTGCCTTTATTTCTTTTCGCCAAGTAAAATGTCCCTTCCTAAAAATATAGCTTGGTTTTGTCCTGTTACTTTTTTAGTTTGTTTTCAAATAAGCCCTTGATCTTTAAAAAAAAAAAAAAAAAAAAAGTAGAAAGAAAAAAGAAAGTCTGACCTGCCCTATTGTGTGCACTGGTTTGAATTGCATTGATGTTCAGAAAAGGAATGAGCTGAGTAACAGAACTTGGGAAAACAGATGCCCAGAGCCATCTGTTGCTCTGCTCATGGTCTTTAGCTGCTCAGTCACAGTGTGGCAGCGGGAACTTGGAATCGCTTTTGTTTTCTTGGGTCTCCGCTGGTTGGCTTTAAAGTAAACACAGAATGAGATGAACGTATCTTGGAGGTGGCCACAAACGGTCTCTGATTTGCTGTCTGGTTTGCACAAACGTGCTCTTTACCAAGAAGCTGATCCGTCATCCTCCTTGAAGGA